ATCGAGAAAGTTCCCATTGATCAGGTGCGAACCCACAATCTTTTAATGCTCAATGGTTTTATCCATTCTTCCATAAGTTGCCCATGTATGAGTCTGTATCCTCTACTAAATAATAATAAATTTTGAGCACTAAGCCATAAGTTTCTAGTATCTTTAAGCTGTGAAATTACCTATGATTTTGCTGGATTATAATTTTTTTAAATTGCATTTTAATTAATTAAAGGTTTTGTTTTGATTTAACTAAAACTTCTAGATGCCAAGTGAAAAATTTGTTATTTCTTACTTTGGATAGGTACTACACATATTTGCAATGTAACTGTAAATATATTGAGACGAATAGAATGCGAGTAATATTAATTTTAATAACATCTTGTTATTAAATTATCGTAGAGCAAGTAATATATGAATATATATAGCCAGGTACGTATTAATATCGGATATTAATGGCCTTGTTTTCTTAGCAGCCTCATCTCTCTGTTCATTATTAATATTTTTCTTTGTGTGTGTATAATGCCTTTTAAAAAAACTAGAAAAGTTGTTGCTGGACTTTCCCGACGTTCTTTAGTCCGAAAATTTCCTGAAAATTTCCATAACAATTTACCTCTAAAACGCAAATCTCTACAAAATTTTAGAAATTTCTGACAAAAGGCACAGGAGTTATTAGGTTTCAAAGCGGATAAAGAAAATCATACTCCTCACACAAACATCCATACATACAGAAAAAACGCCCAACTTTTTGAATTTCTCGATGTTTTACTGTCCCTCTACGTCCAAAAATGGGGCTATTTTTGACCAATTCCCATACTTCGGGGCCAGTGAAATTTTCGCCAGGATCTCAAGAGTTCTTAAAACAGCGCTGTAAATAATTAACATAAATATGTACACAATTAAAGGTAAAACTTACCTTCACACGTTGATATAAAAGTATTTTTTTAAACTATAAAATAGAAGATATTAAAGAAAGAAACAGAAAATAATCATAGAAAAAAAAGAAAGTTTGTTGAAACATTGTTAACGAAAACATTATCCTCCTTGTGATAACGAAATTTTCCAAGTAGTGTCATTCTTTCTAACTTAGTTATTAAGTTGAAGTGGACACTGTTTACATTTAGTTTGAACTTTAAACGATAACATAATACTTTCCGTTATGAAATTTGAAATTTCCTCTTTGAAAATCTATTGAATATGTGAAGTTTCTATAATAAATCATTACTATTTGTTATATTATATTTTTAAACGAAAAGTTTTTATTTATAAATTTACAGTAAGTAAAGAACGTTTTCAATTGTAATTCAGAAGGGAGAGAAAGAAGAAAAATCTGTAGAGGCGTTAAGATTTTTGATGATTCTCATTACTTTTTCTTCATTGCTTAGATATATGGCATTGAGTTAGAAAGAATTCCGAATGTTCTGTCTTTGAATATACAAACTTTTTGATGAATTTCTATAATCTAGATTTCTTTTTGAAACGTAAGATCAGGATTTTTTTCCTCTATAATGTAATAAAATTCGAAAAATATTGCATTTTTCAACCATAAAAATGTGTTATCGCCATGTTTATTCGTTTATCTGTACGTGAATATCAAAAGGACACGAGAAGAATATTTGATACAGTACATACAGGATCTAATACATATATATTAATGTCTTATCTGGTCAAAATTATGAGCAAATTATGTAATATTCCAATTAAGATTTTGTAATTTTAGTTAATTTCTTTTATAAATTTTTTATTACTTTCTATATATTATAATTAGTACATAAAGAGTAATATCTTGCCCCTGTACATCATACTTTTCCTGTTAACAATACCTCTTATAACATCGTATAAATGACTTTAAACATATTAAAATAAATCCTCAAACTTCTCAGTAATTGCAGGCATTGGTAGAATGATAAATATTCCCTATATTCTAGGAATATCTAGCATTATATCATTTGATAAATTGTCTAGATTTATAAAATGATATATAATTAATCGAATTTAAATTACGTCATCATAATAATAAATCTTGGAAATTATGGAGTAAAAATTGTTTCTATAAATATTAAATTCAATCATTTCTGCATTGTTCCTATTGAAACGACCTACGATGATCCACTTAAGCCATTTGTGACCTGTAGAACATTCTTCATTACTTCATTCTACTTTCATTTATTATGAGCATAATAAATCGATCAGAATGATGCCATTCTCACTACAAACAGTTATTAAAGTTCAAATTGTTAAATCTGTATATGTCAAACATTTTCTCAATACGTCAGTACAGATTTATCAACAAGTAGTTCGCGATCTACTCTAACACTAAAAGAAATTACATTATTCATGAAAGGTTGAGAAACCACGTTTAAAAAAAAATGTATACATTTTTCAAGAACAGTAAGAAAAAAATTTTAAAGTACATTTCACAAAAGATATATTTTTCTACTGTTATTAATTTAAAAACAGAATTTATCTGACAGTACCACTTAACGTTTTGATTCTTTATATATATAAATGTGTTATAGTTTTTCTTTATACAACTCGAAAAGCTTATCTTCAATTCACGTATTTTTATTTATTTATTTATTTTTTAACGTTTTGATTCTTTATATATATAAATGTGTTATAGTTTTTCTTTATACAACTCGAAAAGCTTATCTTGAAGCGACGTATTTTTATTTATTTATTTTTTTTGAAAGAATTTTAACTTAAATTTTTGAATTAAATTCTATTTTAAAAGTTAGATTAACTGTATTATAATGCTTCCCTTCATATAATGTAGATCTTTAAAATAGATTTAAACGTGTCGATAAATTTTTTTTTGTATATTTTTACTATAAAAATACAATTTAAAAATGTTGGGAATTTTATTTCTTTTTCTTTTTTTTTTTTTTGAAAATTTTTCGTTTTATTAAATTAGGTTTGGTAAAAATTAATAAATTATCGGTTTTATTTCGGTTTTCTTAGAGAGAAAATCGCTTAAACCTTGTAAAATTTTGATGTAAAAATTCATTTCCCTCAATTTAAACGCCATTATGTGTTGAAATAAGTCCTTTAGTATCTTAAAGTTATAGAAATTAATAGAAATACCGGTGTATATATAATAAATAATAGAAAAATCTGTGTGTCTTATAGACCGCGAGACTTAAGAACGTCGTGACGACAGAGAATGCATCAGGTTCGAATAGAAGAAGAAGAAAATGTGTAGTGAATGAATGGGCAGATGGGCCTCATATCTTGTACCATCTGTCTGTGGCTAAGTAGCGTTCCTTGTAACTGTAGGAACCCGATCTCTTCTACTCGACACATTGTTGACTTTGTTCTGTTTGTCTCAATCCCGACGTGACAACTTCACTTTACAGTCGATGAAACACCCATTAGTGGGTCATTCAATATCAGCTTTTATATAACAGCCGACACTTTTTTCCCTGTACACAAAAAAAAATTGACTTTCCACCATAAATTTGTTTGTCCGATTGATTACAATAGCTTCGTATGTGGCCTTTGTTAAGTGTGTACGATTTACAATTGGTACAGCAACATTTTATCATTACACTCAATGCTTAAAAGTATATAAATAGTATTATCAGGTGGCCCGTGTGCTCATGTTTACATTATGTATGTGCTAACGTGTTGGGCATTTATGGTTCTTTAACACGAGACTTCATCTAGTTTAATGGGAATGTCATTAAACATTTTTATTAACGATGCAAAATCTTACAATTTTGTTCCTTTCTCGAACCTGTATTTGAAAATTATAATCAATTATTTATTTATTTATTTATTTTTATAAAAATATTAAATTTCCATTATTCGTGAAATTATTTTTTATTTAAATGCTTTATTTTACTTTTTATTTAAAAATTGGATCAAATATTTGCATATACGGAAAGAAAATAGTAAAATTTTGATTTAAAGCTATAAAATTCAATAAAAATGTAGAATAATTTCATGTTATACAGGTTGGAAATGAGTGCAAATATATGCAGGATTTTGCTTCAATGCTTACTTAGATACAAAATTGAAAATCTATAATTTTTGTCTTACCTTCGTGTTTCGGTGGAATAGATGTTAAAATTCAAAATGTGAGAATATTATTTAAAATCTGAGCTCTATTTTTTTTTAAACATTTAACAGCAATGACATTATTGAGCGACACAAAACAGTGTAGACCACAAACAGTCGCAAAATAACAACGTTTGTTTCGAATTTTTTTTTGTGTGTGTGTTTTTAATTTTTTTCTGTTCTTGNATCAACGAGTTGCTTAACTTTTCCGGCAGCATTTGATGGCTCCATATATTATTAAAAATAACATTTATATTTTTAATTATTATATAACAACAAATGGCTTAATTTCGAAGATAGAGATGAGTTTTATAAAATATTTTATATGTTAATAATCTTCATTAAGTCCGACCCTACTAGAGATATGACACACGACCCTTCTTTATCTCCCCACTCCGTAGACTTTTAACCACCAAAATTTAATAGAATTAACCCCCTTAATACGCAAACCTCTACGCAAAATGTCAGAAATTTTTGACAAAAAGCACACGAGTTATTAAGCTTCAACAGGCTGAACGAAATAGTGCCCCCTCCCACCCACACAACACACAGACACACACTAACATCCATACATACAGGAGGAAAAAAACCCGAATTTGCTGCCTTTCTCGACGTTTAAAGATTCCAAAAATGTAAAAATCTGGGGGGAGGGGAGGGGTTATTTTTTAAACGATCGCCATACTTTCCCTCTGTTTTATATAACAGAGGGAAAGGTAAAAATGAAAACAGAAGAATGTAAAATAATCCATTAATTATATAAAATATTTCATTATTTAGGAATTATTCGAGATTTTTCTTTTATATTTGAGGGGGGGAAAATGAATTTTTCGTATTTGAAAATTGGAAAATAATGAAGTCAATGTTATATATGTGAATGAGTAGTTCGCTTCAATTAGGCACCACCAGGCGGCATGATGTCGTGAAGTTGCTGATCGATGTTTGTACTCTCTCCACTGGTGCCGTGCTCTATATCTAGCATGCACAGTTCGTTCGTTCACATTTTCTACGTCTGAAGTGTCAACACAACTCTTGGATGGGATTCTATAAAATCTTCTATAGACATACGAGAATCGTGTAAACAAGAGGTGAGTTGTAGACCCGAGTTTCGACAATTCGATCCGTTATACAATAGCAACATGTGTTTTCTTTCATCGTTCAAATCTAGATTTTATTATTATTATTATATTATTTTGTATATTTCAAACGTCATCAGTTTCATCTGAATTGTTACGTCAAAATTTTTGTTTGGCCTTTAATAATATGTAAATTTTTCAAGGTCATTAGTCTATTATCTAGAAAATTTTTTCTGCAATTCTGGAATTTTTTTCTAGAATTTTTCTAGATAATTTTTTTCGTATTTTTTTTCTAATTTTAGATATAACATTTTTATCATTCTAGATAAATTATATATATATGATNATTCTCATTAAAATCATTTATCTTATATTATCTAATCTCGAATGCCATTTAAAGAAATAGCATATAAGCTTCTATTTTTTTTTAATAATTTAAAAAAAAAGAAGAAGAAGTTTTAATTATGTGCCAGCGACATTTATCTCCACTTGTAAATTACTAAAAATAAAATAAAGAGGGGGACGAAAAATATATTGAATCGATAAAATTGAAAAAGAAGATTGAGTGATGTAAAAATCGAATAAATTTTAGTTAATTTAACGTTTTTTTTCTATATGAAAACGTTGATTACTGCACTGACTAGAGGATATTTCTATTCTCAGATCAGCTGTCTGAGTTTGGCCTTCAGTCAATAGTCCTGTTCCTCTTAACTTTTAACAGATGTTTGTACTTGAAAAACTTCTTCCTAACTACTTAGCTATTTCTCTCTAATTACTTTCTAACTAATTAGAAAAATAATACGTCACTTAACTATTTTCTTCGCTATTGTTCATAATTAATATAAAAAATCACCAAAACGTGAATTAATTTATTTAAATAAAAAAAAAACAGTTATTCGATTTTTTAAAGTATATATAATTAGTAGCGAGTAATAAAAGATTTTGAAAATTCCTAATGGGAAAAGAAAAATGCATTGAATAAATTATTGTCTACCGGTTGAGTTAAATGTCAAAAGTACTTTTAGGTGCGCCCACTTCAAGGATACATTATGCTTAAAAGAATTTTTTAAAAAATTATATAGAGGGGATACAAAACGAGCAATTATTTTATTGTGACATCGTCACAATACCAAGCTGCAATTCTTAATCACATTTTTTTTATTTATTTAATTTAAAATATATGTTTTCCACCTCAAATTAGCCGTGTCATGCCCTGTATGTCATACTTTTCCTGTTAGCAATGGAGTCGTGCCAGTCACCTATCTAACTCCTTTCGGGGGTGAAATTTTTGAATTGAAGTAACGTGACTTCCTGTTTATACCAGAAGTTCGTGTATAGTTAATCAAGGTCCTCTTGCCCCTATGCTTTCCATATCTGGTCTCGATTTTCATCTATCTAATTCAGTTCTCGGGATTAGGACACATAACAGATGGACGAGATACAGGCCCAATTATATACCAATCATGAAGAACCACAGAGGGGGCAAACGGTGCGCCCCACACTTGAATGAAGTAAAAAGTTTTACAAATTATAATCGTATCGAGGGTGTAATGTTATCTTACACCCTCGACTATGCGAGGTTTTGTCTGTCTTTTAAAAAATCCCCCAAAATCAAGTAAAAATTTATTGATGTAATTATTTGTCTCCAAGCTTTGTCATCCCCCCTGTAAAATTTTCTGCGTACGCCCACGATAACAACGTTCGGTTTACTATAGTAACAGGATGCCGAATTTAATTAAAAAGGAAAATTTGTTAGTAAAGTAAATAAACGAAAAACGAAATTCCGCTTCTGTAAAGTATCACCTCTTACGACAGAACAGAGGTTGATTGCAAAGCAAACACTTCCATTAAAAATCCTAATTGATCTAAATTTAGTGCCAAATGAAAGCATTTCCAAGATTGGATCCCCACTTTTTAAGTACGTAACTTAATCGTAATTAATTTTTACGCTAAGAAATTGTAAATTAAATTACGTTTAACAGTTTTCCAGTTTAAATATTTTTTCGTATTATTAAAAAAAAGAAGTTACTGCGGAATAATGGTGTATTTAATGGCCTATTACTGTTACGTTCCTTACATTTATACTAATAACACGTCGTAACGATTAGTGTAACGGTTGATCTACGATATGTTACGTTAGAATGATCGACAGACTAGTTACCAGTTACTTATATCGGTTAGTAATTAATTGATAAATAACTGAATATACTATAGAATAATTAACAGAAGACAATAAGACAATTGTCTTATTTTATATTGGGGTTAACAATACTCGAGTGATGTATTAAAAGAATTGACAAAATATATCATGAGAATAGAATATTTATTCATGTAGAATAGTTATAATTCCAGTTTTATTCCATTATATTGTATCAATTATTCTATTGATATATTCGAAAGGATATTCTTATTCTTAATTTACATGTTATAGTGGAGTCTCGACATAAAGAACTCTTACTTGTTTAGTGAATGATTTATTTGTATCCATTAATTAAGAGTTCTCTATATCAAGAATCTGGTGTATTTTATTGTTATTTAGTATCGGTAATAGCGATAATGAAGTGTTATATTGCGAACTCTTAATCAAGAGGTCTAAAATACACTAGACTCTTGATATAGCGTAGAAAACTCTTAATGAACTGAATTAAATTATTCACTATATCAACAGTTGAAAATAATAGAAAAGACGAGAAAATTATTCGCTATATCGAGTCTAGTATATAAAATTATTTTAATATTTCTTAATTGAGTATATCGATGTTCAGTTTGCCTTCTGTGCGTATACTTAAACGTTATTCCATTATTTTAAGCATTCGATTGACCTTCATACGACTCATTTCCATTATTTATACATCAAGAAGAACTTCAAAATAACAATTTCTGTTATTTTTCCATTGAATTAAAGGTCAAAACTCAATTAAGAACGTCTCAAACTTTTTTTAAACTACTTCTTTCTTTAAACCTTTTTATATCAGTAATTACAAATGACTATTTTTTTAATTTTGACAATTATCTTATTAATATTTTAAATATTAAATGAATTTTCACATTAAATAAATTTAAAATAGAATAATAAAAATTAATAAATAAATTGACGTTATTTCCGAATTTCCATCCACACTTTACCTTCATTTTTATCAATTAAAAATTGAAGAATTATTAAAAAAATAAAAGCAAAATTATCCCTAAATTTTCTTTAAAATTCTTTCTTCTGTTTAAATTTAAATCTTACATTAATAAAAATATAATTTATTTATTTATTTTTCGACAAGCAAAAGGTTATAAAAAGATCATCTCTGTAATTTATTTAGAAAAATAAACATTAGAGATACAATTTACATCCATATATTTAGATACGATAAATTTAATTCTTATTAAAATCATTTATCTTATATTATCTAATCTCGAATGCCATTTAAAGAAATAGCATATAAGCTTCTATTTTTTTTTAATAATTTAAAAAAAAAGAAGAAGAAGTTTTAATTATGTGCCAGCGACATTTATCTCCACTTGTAAATTACTAAAAATAAAATAAAGAGGGGGGACGAAAAATATATTGAATCGATAAAATTGAAAAAGAAGATTGAGTGATGTAAAAATCGAATAAATTTTAGTTAATTTAACGTTTTTTTTCTATATGAAAACGTTGATTACTGCACTGACTAGAGGATATTTCTATTCTCAGATCAGCTGTCTGAGTTTGGCCTTCAGTCAATAGTCCTGTTCCTCTTAACTTTTAACAGATGTTTGTACTTGAAAAACTTCTTCCTAACTACTTAGCTATTTCTCTCTAATTACTTTCTAACTAATTAGAAAAATAATACGTCACTTAACTATTTTCTTCGCTATTGTTCATCTTAATTTAATTCTTTAGTTGGAGTAAAAAGTGACGTTTTAATTTAATTTTTAAATATTCAAATTAAGTAAATATACACTCGGTATTATTTTTAAAATATTTTTTTTTGTATAAAATTGACATTTATCATGTTTTTTTATCATTAGTAATATCAGGAAATAAGTACGAAATTTTATTTTTGTAGAATCTTTTATCTTTGTAAAACACGAAATTAACTCGAACACGAAACTAATTTTTCTCTCTCCCTTTTTTTTCCTATTAAGAATCGATAGGAAACACTCACGAAAACTGAACATTTTCATAAAAAAGATAATAAAATAAAGTAAAAATTCCGACATGTGGGATTAGTCAAGCACAGTAAATATTTATTTGAACAGTTTAATCTTTTCGTTTATGTTGAATATAAGTAAAAACAAAGAAGAAATATGGGTCTTAATGCTATTAATCACGCAAATAAACTGGAAATTTTTTACTTGGATAAATATCATAAAAGCAAATTATTAAACGCATTATTACCTCAACGTGTAGCCGGTAAATTGGGAAAAATACAAAAATGATATATTTGAAAATGGAAAAATGTACTTTATTATTATTTTTTTATACTTTTTCGATTGTTATATAGGGAAAATATGTGTTCCTATGTCCAAAAATATAAATTTTTGAACGTAGGGAGACTCGAAACGTCGAGAAATGCAAAAAAGTTGGGTATTTTTCTGTATTTATTGTTGTTAATGTGTATGGGGGCACGATTTTGTTCCCCAATTTTAAGCTTAATAACTCCTGTTCCCTACGTCGAAAATTTATGAAAATTTGCAGGGAAGTTTGTGTATTAGGAGGTAATGTTTCTTGAAATTTTCAGGAAAATCGTACCATTTTTTCGGGAGATATGGCCTCACGTCTTTAATATCTTCTAAACCAATCTGGAGACTTATAAAGATAATGATTAGTAAATAAAATCTAGCCAGCGTTTTATACTTATTTTATGTAGTTGAATAAATAAAAGTATAACACGAATCGTAAAATATAAAGAACCATTATTCAAATTAACGAAAATTAAGTGATGTAAATTGAATAAAAATGTCCTTTATTCGTCATTTATACTGGATAATAAATCTTAATCGTAATAAAAATTACATTATTTATCTGTGATTTAGTG